GGAGCAGAGGGAGGTGAGTATATGACGGATATGACGGATGACGGATGCGACGGAAATACACCCGAACATATTTGGTAGGCCGAACATATCTGGTACTGACACCGGGGCTGCTTCTCAGGTCGACTATTTTCATTTCCTCGCTCCTCGGTCCTCGGTCTCACCGGAAGTTGATTTGCCTGCGCCATCTTGAGTACCGTCCCATGGCTCTTATTTCTGCCGGAGGACCGAGGATCGAGGAGCGAGGAGCGATAATGGAGGAGCGATAATCGAGGAACCACCAGACCATCCTCCGATGAAATCCTCAGATACTCGCCCCGCCCCCTTACTGTGTATCGCTCACTGATTGGACGATGCAGTGCATGCACTGATCTCATGCTTCTTGACATGAGAGCCGTTTCCCAGCGGAGTGAAGAAAATACATGAACCTCACGGGAGTCACTCCTCAGTTTATACCGTGTTTATACCGACGCAAGTTAGGGAAGCAAGGATTTCATTTAATCGACCTGAGAAGCAGCCCCGGGCTCTCAGGTCGATTAAATGAAATCCTTGCTTCCCTCACTTGCGTCGTTTCCCTGCGTTTAGTCCCTCCCACCAAGGAAGCATGGAGGGACGCAAGGAAACCACGAGAAGCAGGGAAATTAGTTTTAAGAGCAATGGGACGTCCTTTCCTCCGGAGCGTCACGTGAAGCGACGTCCGTTTGTGATGACGCTGCACAGTTGATCGTCTGACAGCAGCCAGCTCTGTCCCCGTTATTTCCACACACACCCCCGCCTCTGTTAGTACACATTTACTGACACAAACATTTGTATCATCTGTTGTAGATCCCAATAAATAAAATAAAATAAGAACTCATTCTCAAAAAAGATAAACGCCATTCTTAAAATGTATAAACGAACAATAGTTTGATTAATATTGATTAGAGTGCACAAAAGAAATACAATAATTGAGAGAAGAAAAAGAGATATGTTATCTATCAAAACCCAGTTAGATTAACATTCATTGGACTGCACACTTTGTTTGTTTGTTTGTTTGTTTGGATATGTAGCACATTAACATTTTAATAGCACTTAATGACTGACTGAATGGAAATGACAATAAATGTAAATGTAAAACGAAAAAAGCGATCATGAAAATGTTTCCAACAAATGAATAAAATGATTTTTGACCAATTTGTTGTTCAGATATATCACATATGTGTAACTAAATGAAACAGGAATTGAAACAAAACACAGTATAAACTGAGGAGTGAGTCCCGTGAGGTTCATGTATTTTCTTCACTCCTATATATCAGTGAGCGATACACAGTAAGGGGGCGGGGCGAGTATCTGAGGATTTCATCGGAGGATGGTCTGGTGGTTCCTCGATTATCGCTCCTCGCTCCTCGATCCTCGGTCCTCCGGCAGAAATAAGAGCCATGGGACGGTACTCAAGATGGCGCAGGCAAATCAACTTCCGGTGAGACCGAGGAGCGAGGAAATGAAAATAGTCGACCTGAGAAGCAGCCCGGCCCGTAGCACTGGCGTTATAGATGTTCGCCTAGGGCGCCAGATCTGTGGAGGCGCTGCGCGACAGCTCTGGGAGGAAACAAAATGTTTTGACCGTTGGTGCTCATCCTAATGTTCGGCCTTGATGTAACAACATTCATAATTAAGTAAATATAACACCCTTTTCATCCCGGTTACACTTTTCATTTGCCCTGTACGATGGGCGCTGTAAGTGATGAAAATGGGGGATGTTGGCTTATCTGGCAACCGCAGCTCACAGCCAAAGTGCGAGTGAGTGTGGGAGCGAGCGAGGGAGAAAGGGAGGGCGCTGTTGTTATTAGCATCTGGTGCTAGCTGCTCTAACGGAAGAAGAAGAAGATGTTTCTACAATGATGTGGAGGGAGAGTCATCTCCAGTCAGACTGAGGCTGATAACTACAGCTCAGTGAGGTAAAGGACTCTGAGTGTTTAGATAGTTTACTTTAGTCTAAGTTATCTCAGTGGGTCTCAAACGGTTTGATCACAATTTATGTCAACACATATTTCCAAGGCACTCCTTTATAATTATTGGGATAAAACAGGTTTGAAATAATTCCAATGTATACTATAGGACAGTAAACCAGACATATCGTTTTAACCTGGAGAGATAAAAAAATATGCATTAATAAAATAGTAAAATAAGATATGAATGAACAACAAAACTAAAATACGTTACATGTATTTGTTATTGGCTATGGTAGGTTATTGGTTATGTTCACATACTTATTTAATTATTAAAATGTAAACCGATCTTTTTCATATGGGTGTTTAGAGTTGTACCCCCTAGATCTAGTCTCTAGTAATTCTGCTTAAAGTGCACCAGATTGAAGCATTTTACTTTAAAATGTTCAAACATTTCTTCCCGGTATGCCTGAGAAGGCAGATATGCTTGTTTTTCTCAACAAGAACTGTTTTTAAATGGGGGGGGGGGTTCCTTTAAAAGTTGGACTGTTGTAGCTTCAGTGGTTCTCAGGTTACAGGTACATAGCAGTGAATATAAACAGACTGATTAATGTGAATATTACTGTAAACTAACCTGTGTAAAAGTTTCTCGAATAAATGTCTTTTTTTTGGTGGAAGAAGCATGTATCATTTGTTTACCCTGCCCCTCAAAGAATCGGAATTGAGAACCGTTAAGAACCGGAATCGAAAAGTAGAATCGGAATCAGAATCAGAATCGTGGAAATTCAAACGATACCCAACCCTATATACAAATGCAGTCCATTTGAACTGAAGAACGAAGTGTTCCTTAATGGGTTGACACAAATGTTCTACCTCTCAATCTAAATAACATATTTAAAACACATCTTGGTTGAGCAGGAAAATGACTCATCACAAGCAAAGCTAAGAAAATCAATAGACATACGTTTACGACCGACCGACAGACAGACATAATTAAAAAAGAAAATCATTGTATGCATTATTTGTTTGTGTTTGGATCAAATCAGTTCGGAGGAAGAATTGGACACATGTAGCCTCAAGGTAAAAATACCAGAACAGAAGTTTATAGTGGTACATGCACATACACACAGAGAAAACCTGATTAGACAGTGACTAGATAGAGATTTTAGCTTCATATCATTCATCAAAATGTAGTTTATTAAATGTATTAAGAGAAAGGTTAAGGGCCTTGAGCTAAATAATCATTGCTGGGTCAGAACCCTTTATTGCTTTTAGGCCTTTTGATTCATGTATGACATACATAAAATCATGTATAATATATAAATAATAATACAAGTATAATAATAATAAAAAAACATTGTTCTATTTTTATCCTAATAAGGATTCTTGACAATAATGAGTGTTACTTGTTGTCCAAGCTTAATAAAACATGTTTACCATCTGTATTTTCCAGTGTATCCACAGGGTGGCAGCACTTTATCACGTGTTGCAGCCTCCTGCCATGCACCCTCCAGGGGTGACAGTGAGGGGGAAAACGTTGCATGCCATTGCAGCCACAATGATGAAGGTCACACCATTACAGGTTCCAGTTGTGTTGTGGAAACATGGACTTTCATTTTTACAGTGAGAATTCGGGAAAAGCTGAATTTTAATCATCCAACTATTGTCTACAGTATATTGGGATTGAGTCAGCAATATAAACGGACGGCGCTCTTGAGGAACAAGCTAACACATTTCCATGTATTGTGGAATGTCAATCCCTTGGTATCTTGGATGCACTGTGAAAAGAGTTAAGAACCTGGTTTATGCTCGACTCAGCAGCACCATATCCAACAATGACTGTCAGCTTCTGTATGTATGAAGTTGATCTTACTGTCACTTAGCTTTTCTGCTCAGAAAACATAGGAAGTCTCAGAATCAACTTTACATTTGAGGGGGAAAACAATATTTTCATTATGCATGCCTGGCGTAGCCGACTTTTTGAGGTTTTGATGTAACTTTGAAGTCAGAAATCCAGTTACAGTTAATCTAGGATTACTTAAACGTTTATAATTTCTGTGTGATTGAGTTTATTTTGAGCATTCAGAGTAGTTTAATCATATCATGGTTAAAGAGTTGCATTTGTGGGTTGTGTCAGATGACAGTCATAGTAAAGTAACATTTCACAGAGGTCATTATTTGCCACGGAAACTAAATCGATTGTGACTCACAGATCATTAATGTTAAAAATATATGATCAGCAAATTATAATAAGAAAAAAACGTGTTTTCCTTAATTAAAAAATCACCACACACTGCTGCACATTTCCTCTCAAACATTTCCTTCACACAAATAACTATAATATAATGATGCAAAATAAAGTGAGGGTTATGAACATTGGGGTGAAAACCTGACGACAAACATCACTTTGATGGTGAAAACTTGTGAATGTGACATTTGTTCTCAAAACATATTTTTCAAATGGAAAAACTGAAATCGAAAACCCCGAAACATTGTCTTTTGGTGACACTCCAAATGTACTATTGCTACTTTTTCAATGGACAAACTGGACACCCAGACATGAAACGCTTTTCTTTGGTGCTTTATGCTGCTGCCAATGACTCCTAATTATTTGCCCCTGCTATTATGGCAAATGGACTGCATCATTGTAGCGCCTCAAAATATCTCACATTAGCCTTAACACACACCCATTCATACTGCCATGCAGGGTTGTGATTCTGCTCACCGCGAACAGTTTGGGTTTACCTTGCTCGAGGACACTTATAATAACATGCTTTCAAGACAGTAACAACCAGGAACTGATCTGTGGTCAACCGGCTCTACAACCCCGAGCTCCCCACCACCACACACACAACACACACACCACACACACACACACACACACACACACACAACACACACACACACCACACACACACACACACACACACACACACATCACACACACACACCCACACACACACACACACACACACACACACACACACACACACACACACACACACACACACACACACACACACAACACACACACACACACACACACACACACACACACACACACACACACACCCACACACACACCACACACACACACACACACACACACACACACACACACACACACACACACACACACAGCAGACTGTCGTACAGTATGACTGCTGAATGAGCTTTCTAAAAATGTATATTATATTGGAAGACATCTTTTTTCATGCATTTTTTTCCGAGGCATTGTCGATATTCACTAAAACATTCTTCATGACACACGAGGATGGTGGGTTTGTTCTTATAGAGCATTGTGTAGCTACATTACTACAGTACTTTGAATAATACTAAAGGACAATATGTACATTTTAAAAAGAACTTGTTACAGCTGTAGCTACTTTTTATGATGATTTCTATGCAGCAAGCATTCTGCTTTCAGATACAATGATGTGCCCTTGAAAAACAAGTATTGCTCTTGAACTAACTTCCTCCCCGGATGATAACACCAAACAAGTGTTTGTTTTTTATTTAGAGGTTTTTGCAGTCTGTGGGACAGGAGATATTGTAAGTGTGTAATCCGGGTCATTTAAGACCTTGATCTCCCTAAGGTCAACCCCACATGGAAATGTGTGTGTTGGTTATGAGATGCAGCAGCATGGAGTTATTGTGTCTCTGTGGACAGCAGAGAGCACGAGGAGTGATTTCGTTTTCCGTCTGTTCTGACACACCTCTGCACACCAGCCCAGTGTACACAGCTGTGTGTGTCTTCACCCCTCACAGTTAGTGGGTGAGGCGATCAGATTGTGTTAATCCTTCATTCATTCTCCTTTAAAGTGTCCATTAGCATCATTTTCCGTCCCTAAGCTCCTCCTCCCTCCACCTCCACCTGACCAGCCGTCCTCAGGCCCCTCGTGGAACCGCAGCCGCAGCGTTTTGTGGATGACAAAGCGCTCCACGATGAAAGAGGCGCAGAACCAGGGCACCGCGTACTCAGCCGTGATCAGTCCCTTGAAGTTGTAGCGAAACTCGGAGTAGTCCCATGGACAGGCGTTGAACTGTCGCAGCAGCAGCCCCGTGCCAAACTCCCAAATGTACGTCCATAAGGTGTAGATGACGCAGCGCAGCAGCACAGGGCAGCGGCCGCGCAGCTGCAGGTACATCTGCTCCACGATGAGGATGCAGGTGCCGTAGATGAAGAGCGCCCACACGCTGGTCACGCCCGGGAACTTCCAGTTGCAGTTGACCACAAACTCCCAGGCGGCAGTGAACATGACCTCGCAGAAGTAGCCGTGGATGGCGTAAAGGTACCAGCGGGACAGAGCTGTGAGAGGGACGGGAGCCTCGGGGGTCGCCACGGTCACCATCCTTACTGATGCTCTCACACTGATGTTCTATCTGTTATAATGTGTGGCAGGTCTGAGGAGAAAGGAGCAAAAGAGAGGTTGTTAGAAAGGGACACAATATGTCAACTTCATACACTTTCAGGGGAGACATTGAAGGTGAATAGGGTCAGAATTTTAACAAATGGAATCATGAAACTTCCTCAATGTATTATTTACATTAAGACTATTCCTTTTTGAATTACACATTTTCTGAATTGTTCAAATATGCACATTTTGTATTTTCTTCTGGTGAATTTATGAGAAGATGCAAAGTAATTAAAATAAAGGTATAAATGTGTATTTTTTTGTTGTTTCCCACTTGTCTGTTAACATTTGTAAAATTACCCAAAATCTCAAAAGTTTCTTTACATTTTTTGATGCTATTTATGCTTGGTATTTTTCTGTTATACACATCTAAAGCTTTTACATTATGTGCTCTAATAATCTAGTGTCATTTTATCTCACTGATATCAATCTCACTGTCAAAGCAGTATTAAGTTACTGGTAAATCCAAATAAGCATCCTCCGCCTGCTGCTTCACATTAAAGCTTTCCAATGGAAACACAAAGGGGTGACTTTTATTTTGAAGAAGACACGGAAAAGGAAATGCATATAGTCATCTTTGTGATTGCTAACCATGATATGTAATCAAAAAAATGCATCCAAAAACAAGACCACAGCAGTTCAGTTGAGTGTAAAAAGCGGTACATGTCCAACTCCTCAGCTAGTAACAAAATCATTTAACAGTGTCCTGTTGTTGGAAAATTACTTGTGGTGTGCACAGAATGAGATCATCACGGTTGAAATAATGGGGAAAAAGCATATTATTATGCCCGTCTACTCACCCATACCCAAATCCGTGAACACATTACACCCGTCCTCATCAAGCTCCACTGGCTCCCCATCCCCCAGAGAATTCAGTAGAAAATCCTCCTAAGGACATACAAAGCCCTCCATAACCTGGCCCCATCCTACCTGACTGACCTCCTCCGCAGACACACTCCCACTCGCTCCCTCCACTCTGCTGCTGCCGACCTCCTGTCCCTCCCCACCCGGACCAACCTCAAGTCCTGGGGCGGCAGAGCCTTCTTCGTTGCTGCACCCACCCTCTGGAACTCACTACCCCAATCCATCAGAGATTCTTCCTCCCTCACCGCATTCAAAACATCACTCAAAACCCACCTATTCAACACTGCATTCAACCACTGACCACCCCCCCCCCCCTATTTTGTTTATCTCTTTCTGTATTTTTTTTTTCTACTTGTTTTTCTTCTCTGTCAAAGCGTCTTTGAGTTTCTAGAAAAGCGCTATACAAGTCTCTCTCATGTATTATTATTAGACTTCTGTATTAAACACCTCTTTTTGGCACGGTTACTCCATTGGCTTTTCTTTAAAAGTACCTGCCTGAAGAGTGTTTGCCGTAGACTTGACTTGCACAAATCGACAAGGATTGAAATCTTAATGGTGTCTATCCAAAGTTGAATTCAGGACAAGGCAGTAAACCCTTGATTGACGTCACAAAGATGAAATTGGAGCCGGCGAGGCTTCAGAGGACTTCACCTCTAAGGCCTTCGCTCTCCTGATGCTATTTACACACTGTCTGAGGGGGTCTCTTATCTTTATCATCTGACTGCCACATCATGTGCTCTTTTTCCAAATCCCGCAGCTTGACGCACACAGGCTTTGGTGTCAGGTGTCAGGAGGCCCACGCAAGGTTCCTTCTTCCAACTCTATTTATCACGCCGCATGTCTAATAAAAAACACTGGAGGCAAACAGCATCATGCCGAGGAGTTCAAAGACCACATGGTTGAGAGTGTATATCTTCTACTATACAATGCCTCCAGAGGAAACTGTGTCATAATGGCAACCATTATATAATGGATCATAAACGCTCTGCAAAATACAAAGCTCAGAGGTTAGGAGTACAATATTGTGTTTGAAGTACAAAAGCAGATTTTTTTGTTGGATCTTTTGGTCTTCAAAGAACTGCTGGGGCGCAGAGTGGGCCCATGGGGATTAGCACATTTCTCCAAAACAAGGAACAAGGGTTTCATGTGAGGACCTGGGCCACAGCGATGGACCAGCTGACCTCCGTAAACCCTCATACCATCTTTTTACTGCCTGCATGGGAAACGCTCCCTCTCATCTATCAAAGCACACTTAGGTCAAACAGGTTTTCAGAATATTTTGAGCATAATGCTTTATTCATTTAAGAGAACTCGAAGCAGTAAAATAGGTTCAAAATCTAAGATTAGTAGCCAGTTAACGTAAAGCATGCTAGACTTTTCCCTGTGAACCTCACATTAGTATCAATGAAGACCTTTAAAGCCAAGTTATGTGCTTATTGCCTTCTACGTCGATTGAAATGAGTAGAATGATACCTGATAGCTTAGCCTGGCATGTAGACTGTAGCAGCCTAAAAGCACCTCTTAAGATCACAGATTTAGAGGTATGTGTTTTGTATAATTTTAAGTATCTCTGTTAATGTCAGTCTTTTCATCTTTGGTCTACACACGCACTGCACGTATTGACAAAGTGTAGATTTTTAAATGTTCAATAAACATACATCTGTCCTGAAAGTATTGTGTCTTTGTCAGAGACATCCTGATGTAATATGATCAACTCCTTAAGAAGTTTGGCAGCATCTTGACACTGCCTTTGTCATGAAATAGGAAGAGAGCGTGAATGTTTATCGTGGATGATATTCAACAAAAGTCCTCATTCAGACTCAAACTGGCAATGTGTGATTACATGGTCAGCGTCTTAAACCCGAAAACGCCAGCCTTCTCCCACTTGTCCTTTCTGTGTCACACTGAGGCACATCTATCGACCCGTTGCCCCAGTACAGTGGTTCTCAAAGTGTGGGGCACGCCCCCCCTGGGGGGCGCAGAGGCATGCCAGGGGGGGCACGAGAGACCAGGAGGAAAAATTGTTATATAAAAGATTTAAAAAAAAAAAATCATAATTTGAAAAATGATTGATTCGTAAATAATATGATGCAGTCCAGTACTATTACGTCTGGGTCTCTGTGTTTCATTAAAGCTCGGCTCTGTGTGTGTGTGTGTGTGTGTGTGTGTGTGTGTGTGTGTGGAACAAGCCATTTTGTGTGCACGAGAGAGAGAGAGAGAGAGCGCACCGGTACCGGAGATCGTTGTTGTTAGCTTCTGGTGCTAGTGAGCTACGCTAACGGATATAAGGAGTTTTTTCAACAACAAAGTGGAGGAGAGTCCTCTCCTGTCAGACTGAGAGACTCAGTGAGCTAAAGGACTCTCTCAGTGTTATCTCAGTGGGTCTCAAACGTTTTGGTCACCATTAATGTAAACAACTATTTCCGAGGCACACATTTATATGATCATTATAGTTATAAAAAAATAAGAGAATAAATTAAAAACAGCTATGAAATACTATATGACAGTAAAACAAGAATAAAGTTTAAAAGGAGAGTGATTTGTAAAATATCCATAAAGAAAAAGTAAATCTGTTTACAGTTCTGTTTCAAATGGGTGTTGAGAGATGTATCCATAGGTCTCTTCATTTTGCTCTCAAAGTGCACCAGATTAATGCTTTTAACTTCAATATTTAAAAATAAATCTTCCCGAGGGAGCTTGCCCCGGACCCCCCAATGTGAGGTCCACACACCACCTATAAAAATAGCACTTGACCCCTGCTTACACATATGCCGTGAGCTGATTATCGAGCCTTCGTTGTAACAGTTGCGGGAACACTGTGTGTATGCGTGTGGAGAGTGTTGCAGTAGAAAATTCCACTGTAGCGCCCGGTACATTAATGGGAAACCCTAAATGTTTGAGCACCCTCTATGAAACGTCAAGCTACCCCACAGCACCCCCAAAAGAAATCTCTGGCACCGCCACTGAGCCTGACTATTTGTGTTGGGGGGGCCCGACTTTTTTTTTCTCCAAAGGAGGGGCCTGACAGAAAAAGTTTGAGAACCACTGCCCCAGTATGACACATTTCACACACTGGGTGCTGTTTGATTCTGTTGTTGTTGTTGCAGCTGTTTTAGTATATCGCCCAGCACCCCCCAGCTCTTATGTGTTGATTTCAGCCAGCTTCTGCTGCGGCGACCTGCTTAGCCATCGCATTGAATTGAATCCTGCTACGGGACATGGCAGCAGGGGGGCCATCAGAGTGGTGAATGTGGCAGAGCTGCTTTGTTGACCTCACGTTAACCACGGGGGGACACAACAGAGGCAGGGTGCTGTCTGAACTGAGGGGGAGGGAAGAGTTTTGTCTGAGGGAAGACGCCAAATGAGTGTGTGTTTCTTAAATGACACATAAATAGTATGATTCAGATAAAGGGAGTGTAAGAACTAAGGTTGAAAACAAGGCTGTCAGTTAGACAAACACAAGCATAAAGAAAACACACCAATGTGAGTGAGCCAAGGTTGAATTGAAAAACAAACAGAAACAAAGTGGTGCCTCTACTCTGCCGCCAGCCTGCTGACAGCTGTGAACTCTGACTGTGATTAAATCACCCATAACCCATTTCTGACCTCACATGCACCATAATCCCTGTTCATGTACTGTAGCTCTGGCACAGATCCAAGGCCAGTGCAGACTTTAGGAAGGTCACTGTGACGCTGCAGCACGGCGTAGAGAACCAGAAGCATCCAATGTGGTTAAGTGCCAGTGATTTGGCAGACAGATAACTTAACACCAAGAAATCTGCTAATATATTTATTGAATTAGTCATTCTCAAGGATTTGTGCATTCTAGCCTCTAAAAATATGGGAAAGAAAGATTAAAGAAAACACAAGACATCTACAGATGTAAAGTGATTTCCAAGCAGCACTACTAACCTAAAAGCCGCACAGACTGTTAGAGGTGTAGCTTCCTGAGTCAACACAAATTGATCCTGATTGAATTTGCTTTCTTGGATGGGTGATGAGCAATTTATTTAGTGATTGATGAGAAGTGTGTGTAAGGTAAGGGGGAGGGAGGAAGGTTTGGGGGAAGGGGGACTTTTTTCCGAAGCAGCACAAAATAAACGGATGTCGATCAATTCCAACAGACGGATCAATAACCAGAGAAACAGCCACCTGGCTCTAATCTTAAACAGTCTCCTTCACCATTTGAAGCAAATAGAGTTGTTAGTGCCCAAATATCCTCTTACTGGGCAAAACATTTATTACTGTTCACGGTCAATGCAAGGTACAAAAAGCCTGACCTCACATAAAGACGGGACGCAATAACGGTTTAAATATCTGCACATTTACTAAGTCTAAAATCTAAGTTGCAGAAACTTTTTTTCACAATCCGATAAAATGTTTTATGTATCGTCTCGTAGCCGAACCTGCCCATCATCACTGCATCTCAAATATTCCTGCTATCCTGTTTGTATCACGTTAAACTGACTATCTCTGGGCTGACAATTAGACATCATCTTGGACTTTATAATGATAAGACCCCCTCTTGGACTTTCGATAAACTGGAATTTGCCCTTTTCCTTATAATTTGACATTATATATAGACCAAACGATTAATGGGAAAATAATCGGCAGATTATTCAACAATGGAAAAATGGTTAATTGTACATTTTGCTCGAAAAAATATGAAAAATAGCTGTAACATCGTCTTTAAAGGGGGCTATTTTGTCAGATGGTATAATGCCATATTGCAACAACTTCAGTGTTAGGTGATTTATAACAAATATGTGTGATAGACAAAAGGAGTTCATAATAAAAGTACTTATTCCATTTCCGTGCTACTAGCCATTGCAGGGTTTCAAATGAATACACGTCTCCTTCCCCAATCCTAAATCCAGACATAGGGCTGCTCGATTATGGCAAAAATCATAATCTCGATTATTTGGGTCAATAATTGATATCGCGATTATTAAAAACGAGTATCCATTTATTTGAAAACATTTATTGAAAAAAGTTGATTACCCTGAACTTAAAGTATAATTCAATACAAAAAATAAAGATAAAGAAAATAAATTATCGTTTTATTTCGATTATGTTGTTTTCATAATCGTTGCAAGCCAAAATCGTAATTGCGATTAAAGATTAATTGAGCAGCCATATCCAGACATTCACCCAGAGACACATAAAGTATCTGAGAACCAAAGGAGTACAGCTTCTGATCGAGCTGGAGAGACGCCGTGAGGGCTGAGACTAAAAGCCTGCACACAGCACTTCCAACACAAAGCCTCATTCGACTTTACAGGAGGCCTCCCTCTATAGCTGCAAGGTGAGAGCCTGGACAAAACAAGCTGAGTGATGGGTACAGAGAGTGGTAGGATCTGCCCTCTCGAGAGTTCATACCTAAAAGGTTTCACTGACACTTATTCCTCTTTGTCCACTAACATTGTATAAAAGATGTTTTTTCATATTACTTTATGACCTTTAAAAAGATTTAAAAAGGCACGTTGCTAATCCAACATATAGCATCGGGCTGCTAACTTTAATAAGATATCATACTTTATATTAAGTGTTGTTAAAAACAGGCAAACAGATATACTACTATCATACTATACCATCTAAGTATAACATGACAAGAGCTTAACACTGCAAAATGTAAGTATCTTTTTATATTTTCTCTCAGGACAGAGAAATAAAAACCAAAAATAACACAAACATTAATAAAATGTGTCTTTGTTTGCTGGTATATGATAAAGAGGAGGAAAAACTCCTCAAATACAATGACAAATCAAGTTTGGTTTCACAAGGGAACGCAGTCTCATCCAATATCCTCCGGGCTATTATAGGTGCTGGGATGGAGAAGAAAGTGGAATTGGTTCACCTCAAACTAAAGCAGATTTGACTGAACAAAATGTGCTGTGTGTTGAAGTTATTCAATCAAGAGACATGCATTTCTGATGAAGCATCACTTTCTGCTGATGCTGCAATAAAACCTCTCTGTCACTGCTACCTTCACATCACACACACTGAGGGAACAGAGAGATGTTGTCTTATCTTTGGGAGCGGGTGCACAATGAACTCTGATTTTTAATCTATTCTGAGTCATCTAAGCTGCTTTGGGGGGAGGTATTGTGTTGTACCTTTTCTTCTCAGTAATATACCGTCTTTCTGTCTGCCTGTCTGTCAGTTTACAAGCCTATTTATCACCCATTAATACTCACAAAATATCCTTTAAACAGACTGACCTTTACATTTACAAACCTTCTCGGAAAGTCTCTTCTATCTCCCTCACGCTATTTCACTCCCTGACCCACTCATTACAGCTCTTGAGCGCTTTCCAGTTTAATGAAAGACCCCGAGACATGGGAGCTAAGCCCTCTGTCGCTAATAGCACGCGGGTCATGCCTCATACATAGATTAGAAAATCTTGGAGCAGCTACAGAGAAAGCAGGATATTTACTGACATGGCCATCAGTGCAGCGGAGAGTAATGCCTCTAATGGAGGGATGCATGTGATTGTTAATCTGGTATCACACAAAAAAGCTTTATAATCAATGGTTGTCAATGCATAATTTATCATGGAGGCTCTGTGAAGAATTAGGAAAGAAAGATCTTTGCAAAACAAAAAGGTCTGTATAAAGCATAGAGGGGTTTTAACTTTTTAGGTGCAGAAGAAAAATCAAATTGTATCACACACAAAAAAATCCATTTAAACTTTAAAGCCAGACTGATAGTGGATTTTTAAGTCCAATATTTGTATATAAGTAACACGTACATTTGTGTATCAGAGTTAGGTTTATTGTAGGTTTTCATGGAATGTTTTGTTGCATACTATAAACAAAGACATTTTAAGAGGAATTAAGTACAGAAAATATAGGATAGAAATGATGATAAAAAGTGAAAAGAATACAATAAAAGGTATGATAAATATGTAGATTATGAGTTTGGTGTAGGATGTGCAATGTGGGTGATAACATGTAATTTGGTTATGAGAGAACTGTGAACAATATGTACGTAGAATAACTATTTTCCTGTTTAAGTTAAACTTGTCAGTCCTCTTTCAGAAAAAGGTCAGAAAGTTTCCAAACTACATCTGACATAATCAGCATTTCCATATTTCCAAATTGGAATTATCAGTTTATATAACTTTGTGAACACGCAGGACTGTTTTGGTTTAGAAACTCTCCTCTGCTTCGACGATGACCTTTTATGTGTCTTTAACCATGCTGTTCAAAAAGGCATTACCAACATACCTTATAAGGTCTGTTACAAGGAGAAGCAGGAACTGAAAAACCTGCATTAGGACCGATTAGAACAGGCATACTTAATACTACAATAACTCAGACCAAGTGTCCACACAGCTGAGGTGGGCTGAATGTTTTTTTTAAACCAGTGCCTCTGTCATAGGGATCCTTTTGGGATTCTTCGATGTTCACGCTGGTGCTCAGGTTATAAATAGGTCAAACATGTCGATACAGTCAGTGCAAAACTGAGGGGGAAAGGCCTTATATGGAATAAATCAATGAGGGATTTAAAAAAGCCAAACCACAGTCAGATATCGCAAGCATTTTTTTAAGCATTCATAGATGTGACCTAGAAATGAAATCATCATGGGAATGAATTGGCTCTGTAAATAAGACTGCAGAGGGTTGTAATTACGCTAGATGGCCAAAGTCATCATATTTTGTCCCTGGAAACTAGGGGCCACTGCGCATGCTCGGCTGCTGGGACTCCGCTGCAGCATCACGCTCCTTCCAACTGAGCAGTGCGGTACGATTATCCTCTACCAAACATTCAAATCAGCCCTCTGAAATGTGACCAAAGGGGATCTAAAACAGACGTTTCTTAAAAAGAATCACTAACATATACAAACAAAGTAGGCTACACACACACACGGGTTACACTTGTGTCCTCTTTGCTCTTTCTGAGCTTATTTCGACTGTCCCATCCATATTTGAACAGGTGTAAAAGCCCAACTGTGCACAGAAAACACGCCAAATAAAGAGATATGCATCCTGTTTTAAAAAAACTACATGCAGATAACGATAGGCTATTCATTGGCTTAAAATGCGTTTAGTTTAGGTTACAGTTAAAACATGCTTTTAAAGCTGCCAACTTGCAAGCAAACACTCATTAAGGATAACCGACCAGCTATTTCCAATCCAGATATAATAAGAACACATGGTATCACTTTAAAAACTATACAAACATATATTGTTCTCGTGAAAAGCCATGATAACATGTTGGCTTCATGTCGACTTCATGTCGGCTCTGCAGACGGACATGAATCATCCTCAGTGCAGGTTATTTTTTTACCTTTGAGCTGTGCGGTGTCTCCCTCAGAATACACCCGGAGGATCATACACATTCACCGGGGAAGATGGTCCAGGATGTCGCGGTGGCGGTCTGCAGCTCGGCTGGTGCCCCCGGTTCTCCTTCCTTCACCGTGTCTCTGCTGTCCGATGGAAATTGACACATTTTACTTCACTGCAGCAGCAGCACATGCTCAGAAAGGCTCACGCACTTCTTGCATCTTTCGTTAACCCTTTCTATCCCGCAGCTCAGCCTGCAGACTCACTGGAGGTCCCCTCGGTCTGTGTGGATCCACAGGGTGCTGAATAGGCTTAGTTAATATTTAAGCGCATCCTAAATATTAAACACATAGGTTAGTGAAGAATTAATGACTCACCTTAAAACTTTAATTTACCCCACTTATGTAGCCTAGTTGTTAATCCTGGAAGCCCATTTCCTCCAGAAAAAGAAAAAGGTCATTATAATGAGAATGTTTTTTATAATAATCGCTAATCTAAAAAATAATGACTGTCCAAATAATGAAAAGCTTTTCAAAAATAATGAATGTTTGAAGTTTTTTCAAGATTAAATAACTTCAGTATTTTACGACATCAAGTCATTTATTTGAGATAGTAAGTCAATATTTTCAAAAACTTCATTTCATTATGTTGCCACAGAATGTAATTATTTTTGAGAGAGTCATTATTTTGTGGAAAGTTTGTCATTATAATGACTTAAAGGCTATTTTTCTTCTATTTTTTCACTGGTAAATGGGCCAGTTGGAACTTTTGAGAAAAACGATAAATTACCAGTAAATTACACATTATTTTAGCTTACATTTAGCTAGCTTAATTTAGCATAATGACTAGAAGCATAGCATGTTATAGTTTCGTCTAATTTGTACACAAAACAAACAAAAATGTTAGTTTTTTTCAAACAGCAGCTGCTAGCTTCACATGTATATTGATATGAGTGGTATCAAAGTTGAATACTTTTATGATATCAAAAATATATTGGTTCAAATAAGAAAAATCTTTAGATACAAAGATAATTCAAACCTTCACAGCTAGAGACAAATCAAGATAGTGTGGAGTCTATTTTTATATAACATTACAAGAGGGATTCTTATTATTACATATATGCTTATTGTGCTCATGAGATGTTGCTATAACTTTGGAATAAATAGACAAAATCACCAATCCCAAATGTTGATGGGTTGGATAGGAAACGAAGGGAAAAGTCATAGAAGAAAGTTTTAGCTTGCAATATTAATGTAGCAAAAGCCAGGTGCACACTGTAGAGACAATGAGTTATTGAGGCTCTGGCTATACAGTATGGGCTCTGGCCTTGGCTGCGTGTGTGTGCTCAACGTCTATGGGATTAGTTTTGTATCATAAAGATAAAGCAACACGTTTTCAGAATAAAGCAAAACTATGAGTTTAAAAGAAGAAGAAAAAACTGAGTCAAGCAAAATAAAATACATTTAAAAAATAAAACTATAAGTTGAAAACAAATAATTTGTGTAACCATGTAAACTATAAGTATTTTTTCTTTGTTTTAACATAGGTTTTTGCACTCTCATTTTCGCTCCTTCACTTTTTGTTTGAGATTCTGACACAAACCTCCCAGGGACTTTCAGGGGTGCGTCCCCATTGGCTACTCAGTTTTTGAGTGAAAGCCCAGTCCTCCAGCGATTGTGCAGGCAGCTGCGGTGCGGTAGCTGAGCGTGGATAGAACACCCCCAGAAGAACCAGCATTTCAATTATTAAATGTTAATACTTCAAGTGAAAATATATGTAAGTATTGATCATTTATGTTGTTTGTGCTGTACTATACGGTCGGTTTCTTTATTGGGTTAAGTGAGAAGGAAAGCTGTGCTATGAAAGTTAGCTTTTGCTACCTTTAGATCCATAACAATGAAAGCTAAGTAGTCTAACAGTTAGCTACATAGCTAGCAATGAGTGAGCGTTCAGACACCGGCGCAGAAAGACCAGCTTCATCCACGCATTGTTGTTATCACTTGCTCAGTGTCATTTCAGTTGACCGAATGTCTTTACATTTAATAGATTGTATTATTATCCAGCTTTTTGTTTTATGTCCTTTTATTTAAAAACATTCTTTGAGACTTCTTCTTGGTTCAAATTTCAATAAATGTAATTTGTATAATCACTTTTGTCTTTATTCTACATGAAAATGTTAGAGATTCCATTCAAATCTGTTGATTATTCAGATCTTCCTCAGGAATAGTATGTCGAATTTTGAATGCTAAATGTATATCATTTTCTCATAGGATATAGAATGAGACAACACAGTTTGTATCCATTGTGTATGAATGCTTCAGCTCTTCAGACCCACATAGTAAGATGTGAGCATGTTCCTAATTGTGTATGCAACCTAAGTCTGGTCTGTTTAATAAAGCAAATCTGCCACTTTTATATTGTAGAATTTGTTAAATTAAAGCAGTCTTTAATTGTTTGTCCTATCCATCCATCCATCTTCTCCCGCTTATCTGTGGTCGGGTCGCGGGGGTAGCAGTTCCAGCAGAGAGCCCCAAACTTTCTTTTCCCTGGCCACATCAACCAGCTCTGACTGGGGGATCCCAAGGCGCTCCCAGGCCAGCGAAGAGATAATCCCTCCACCTGGTCCTAGGTCTACCCCTTGGTCTCTTCCCAGCTGGACGTGCCTGGAACACCTCCCTAGGGTGGCGCCCAGGTGGCATCCTTACTAGGTGCCCGAACCACCTCAACTGGCTCCTTTCGACGCGAAGGAGGAGCGGTTGAACTCTGAGTCCCTCCCGGATGACTGAACTTCTCACCTCATCCCTAAGGGAGACACCAGCCACCCTGCGGAGAAAACCCATCTCGGCCGCTTGTATCCGCGATCTCGTTCTTTCGGTCATGACCCATCCTTCATGACCATAGGTGAGGGTAGGAACGAAAATGGCCCGGTAGACAGAGAGCTTTGCCTTCTGGCTCAGCTCTCCTTTCGTCACAACGCTGCTCCGATTCTCCAGCCCATCTCACGCTCCATTGTTCCCTCACTCGAGAACAAGACCCCGAGATACTTGAACTCCTTCACTTGGGGTAAGGACTCATTCCCTACTTGGAGTCGACAGTCCATCGGTTTCGAACCGATCCAGTGAGTGCTGAAGGTCGCAGACCGATGAAGCCATGAAACCACATCATCTGCAAAAAGCAGTGGTGCAATCCTTAGTCCACCGAACTGCAGACCCCCTCCCCCACGACTACGCCTCGAAATCCGATCCATGTATATTACAAACAGGATTGGTGACAAAGCGAAAGCGCAGCCCTGGCGGAGGCCAACCCTCACCGGAAATGGGTCCGACTTACTGCTGAGGACCCGGACACAGCTCTCGCTTTGGGAGTACAGAGATTGGATGGCCCTGAGTAGAGACCCCCTCACCCCATACTCCTGCAGCACCTCCCACAGTAACTCGGTCATACGCCTTCTCCAAGTCTACAAAACACATGTAGACCGGATAAGCGTACTCCCAGGCCCCCTCCAGGATCCTTGCGAGATTAAAAAGCTGATCCGTCGTCTTAAACATAGCAATATATGCCTTTGAAATGTCTTTGAAAAAATAACAGTATGCAGTTTATATTGTGTATCACCTTTAGCTTGAAAATACATAGATGTGTTTTTTTAATCTATAAAATAAATAGACAGACAGACACTTTATCAATCCCAAATTGGGAAATTATTTAACAGCAGCAGTGTGTTCAGGTATTAAAATATTTAAAGTTGGAATAAAGTATAAACTACACAACACAAGTGTAATGCACAGCAATCCATAAGATAAGTCCGATATGTTCATGAAACTCCCCAGGAGACACCAACACTATACCTCATTCACACCAACGCAACTCCGGTTCAAGCTCCGTACTAGAGCTTTTCAGGTTCAGAACCGGTTCTTCGGTTTAGCTCCGGCTCTTTTCACATTGCCCAGAGTCCGACTGGTGCTGCGTCATTGCGTCATCGTTTGGGTCATGACGTAACCAAACCGGGCGGAAACCCCTCACAGCTCACACCGACAACAACAACAACAATGGCCGATTGTGCTCTAGCTTCCTCTGTACCTCTTCGGAAGACCATATTCCCAGTAGGTAGCTGGTCTCTTCAGTGGACCACTGCTGCTTGTTAAGTTTCTCCATCGTTGTGTACAAACTGGATAAAACGGCGGCTTTTTGTTGTTGTTCAGGAGTTGATCCCGCCCCTGCCCCTGCCCCCGCCTCGACGTAAGCGTGACGTGCGGTGCTTTTGCTCTAGCCGGACAATTATTTGGTGCTTGAAACGAACCGTATTCCGGAGCTAAGAGGCTGCTCCGCTGCGGTGTGAACAGGAAAACCCGGTGCTTTTCAAGCTCCAGCTCCGAACCGGCCCTGAAACACGTTGGTGTGAATGAGGTATAACGTGGCCGAGTGGACTCCGGAGTTTGCTGGATGAGTTGCACTGTATGATCTGTGGTGTAGTGGGCTGTCACTCAAAAACGGAGTAGCCAATGAGGACACACCCCTGAAAGTCCCGCTCACCTGGGATGTTTGTGTCAAAATCGAAAACAAAAAATGAGGGAGCACAAACAAGAAGAGCTGCAGCGAGAGCAAAAGAAGAAACAAGAACTGCAAACAAAAACCTATGTTAAAACAAAGAAAAAAGACTTATAGTTTACATGATTACACAAATGATTTGTTAGCAACTTATATTTTTATTTTTGAAATGTATTTTATTTTGCTTGACTCAGTTTTTTTTTAATCATAAATGTATGGGCAGAGCCCTGTGTAAAGTATTGACCCACGAGGTTCGGGGCTCTTTACGGAAATAGTGGTAACAGATAACAGCTTTGCTGCCTGTGATTTATATGACGTGACGAGTCCTTGGCCAAGTGAATATATATATTTGGCTCTCTTATAATAAATAGTTAAACTTAGAAGTTCTTTGTCTTTCCTGGAATAAAAGAACACGGCAATAGTAGGCTATAGTGAAATGGCCACAGCTAGCTTTGGCTTAAAAAACATTAACTGACTTTTTTCTATTCAAGTTGTATCTTGTGATTAAACATGTCAATGATAATGAACTCACATATTGACAAATAAGTATTGAATAAGGTAGTAGCAAAATCCTGTCTCAGCGAAATCATCAAACTGAAAGCTAGCCTAGCCCTAGCCTAGCATCAGCTGTTGCCATGCAGAATTCAAAATGTAGTTAAGCTAGTTTTATGTTATCATGTCATAAAATGGTTTAATATATTGGTTTTATGTAATTAATAGCTATTTATAAAAGGAGATATAGAAAATATACAATTACAATACAAAAAATATCAGCATCCAATTTTCCTATTCCCTTTACATCATTTTGAAAATACCTTGTTTCCTGACACTTTCAGACCTTTTTTAGTAATTGGTTTAACCTCACTGGGCTTCCAGTGGGATAAATATTTTAGGACTTTGAAGAACAGGTGTGATCCTTCACACATATCCAGTGACACAAGAAGTGACACCTGAGCAAATAGTGAACTCTTTTGATGACCGTTTTAAAGAAATCAAGGACTGGTGTTTAAGTTCAGCAGCCAGAAACCTCTAAATCAGGGGTGGGGAACCTCCGGCCTCCGGGCCGTATACGTCCCGCGAGACAATTTGGTACGGCCCTCGAGGTAATTTATAAACACACGCAAAAAAGAAAAAAATGTAAGAAATCTAGACCGCAAAAAACGACTACGCCTCGAAATCCGATCCATGTATATTACAAACAGAATTGGTGACAAAGCGAAAGCGCAGCCCTGGCGGAGGCCAACCCTCACCGGAAATGGGTCCGACTTACTGCTGAGGACCCGGACACAGCTCTCGCTTTGGGAGTACAGAGATTGGATGGCCCTGAGTAGAGACCCCCTCACCCCATACTCCTGCAGCACCTCCCACAGTAACTCGGTCATACGCCTTCTCCAAGTCTACAAAACACATGTAGACCGGATAAGCGTACTCCCAGGCCCCCTCCAGGATCCTTGCGAGAGTAAAAAGCTGATCCGTCGTCTTAAATATGTCTTTGAAAAAATAACAGTATGCAGTTTATATTGTGTATCACCTTTAGCTTGAAAATACATAGATGTGTTTTTTTTATCTATAAAATAAATAGACAGACAGACACTTTATCAATCCCAAATTGGGAAATTATTTAACAGCAGCAGTGTGTTCAGGTATTAAAATATTTAAAGTTGGAATAAAGTATAAACTACACAACACAAGTGTAATGCACAGCAATCCATAAGATAAGTCCGATATGTTCATGAAACTCCCCAGGAGACACCAACACTATACCTCATTCACTCCAACGCAACTCCGGTTCAAGCTCCGTGCTAGAGCTTTTCAGGTTCAGAACCGGTTCTTCGGTTTAGCTCCGGCTCTTTTCACACTGCCCAGAGTCCGACTGGTGCTGCGTCATTGCGTCATCGTTTGGGTCATGACGTAACCAAACCGGGCGGAAACCCCTCACAGCTCACACCGACAACAACAACAACAATGGCCGATTGTGCTCTAGCTTCCTCTGTACCTCTTCGGAAGACCATATTCCCAGTAGGTAGCTGGTCTCTTCAGTGGACCACTGCTGCTTGTTAAGTTTCTCCATCGTTGTGTACAAACTGGATAAAACGCCGGCTTTTTGTTGTTGTTCAGGAGTTGATCCCGCCCCTGCCCCCGCCTCGACGTAAGCGTGACGTGCGGTGCTTTTGCTCTAGCCAGACAATTATTTGGTGCTTGAAACGAACCGTATTCCGGAGCTAAGAGGCTGCTCCGCTGCGGTGTGAACAGGAAAACCCGGTGCTTTTCAAGCTCCAGCTCCGAACCGGCCCTGAAACACGTTGGTGTGAATGAGGTATAACGTGGCCGAGTGGACTCCGGAGTTTGCTGGATGAGTTGCACTGTATGATCTGTGGTGTAGTGGGCTGTCACTCAAAAACGGAGTAGCCAATGAGGACACACCCCTGAAAGTCCCGCTCACCTGGGATCTAAGAAATCTAGACCGCAAAAAAATTAAACAAGCGAGTGCCTGTTTTTCCTGGCCAAGGTCAGGGTCCTTGAACACAACACGAGCCTAACGTGTCATATGTCTCGACTGACAGGGATGCAGTTCTGACGGAGAGCACCAGAACGCCACTCCAGCACTTCAGAAATTGCAGTACCGATAAGGAGCCGTACACATGCCGCAGTTTCTGCGTGTCTGTGTCTTTAGTTGAAAGCCCAGTGGCGATCTGTTCATCTGTCATACAGATCATACATTCAATAACTTTGTTGTTATTAGCATCTGGTTAGCTAGCTATGCTAACGAATATAAGACGCTTTTTCTACAACCAGTGAGGTAAAGGCACATCTTTATATGATCATTATAGTTATAAAAGAGAATAAAGTATAGGTTTAACAGGTATAAAATACTATATGACAGTAAAAAAAGTTGTTATAAATAAACAAGAATACAGTTTGAAAAGGGAGTGATTTGTCAAATATTCATAAAGAAAAATAAATCTGCTTCCAGTTCACATGGATAGGAAACTAAATACATTTGCACACATCTTGTGTCCATATCTTTCTGTTTTGGTGGTCACGCCACACCGTGCACGTGCATGCATACGCGAGTCATGGTATCTGGATTAAAAGGTTGCTTTTTCTTTGCACAGAATGAAATGAATGGGCTGTGATTTTAGTTCTTTTAAGCAGAGGTCAATAATTTGTACGGCCCTCTGAGGATATTGTAAAAATCGAAATGGCCCTTGAGAGGAAAAAGGTTCCCCACCCCTGCTCCAAATCATTATCAGTGATACTGTATCACTATACATTTACTCTCAAAACACACTTTCATCAAATTAAAGTAATCATATGGTGTGTTTCTGCTGGAATAAGTTACAAACAAGGGCTTATAGAATGTGATGATTATTAAAAGTGGCTGAAAACTATTTAGCATTCCTGTTTATTAATTATTGAGCAGTGGATTTTTAGACACTGCTGTTTTCTCTTATATATTTCTGCTAAAAGGGTGTACATGTCCAATGAATGAGTAATATTAATCTGAATATGCTAAGTATCATAAGTTGTGGGAAAGATTGTGCAGTAAAAAGTATTGTATTTACCAAATAGATGTACTGGAGTAGAAGCATTAAGTCAATCAAAATTGTACTTTAAACATTACTCAATGTTACTCCATAATGGATTTAAGGTAGAAATCGCCGTGCCCTTCCTGATCATGTATGCAGTAGTCAAAAGTACATTGGATAAAATAATAAACCTGATGAAATATGATAATGCTAGAGGATGTAACTGAAATATCGAACCTGATAACACCATTTGTTCTTTCTTGTTTAAGTGGTCTTCAAAAGGAAGTTGTCCCTTTCAACAGGACATGAGTAGTTGTTTAGAGATTTGAAGAGCATTGTAATAACGTTATGCTCACTAGGCAGATATGATTTTCGATCGGCCGTTAATGGTGGATACTAAAGATGAACTTACATTTTCCAGAGAGCCTCGTAAAGACCGGAGGGGTGCTCGCTCAGAATCATTACGTTAGCAATCAGCATCGACCTACAGATGAGTGGACTGAAAGAGAAAATAACAGCAGAGGGCGTTCAAGTGCGAGCAGATACTATAAATATTGAGTTTTTTCGAGCACTAACAATCTTAGGCAGAGATTGAAGCTAAAAGCCAGTCTGGATGAGAACATATTAGAGACATGCCGATTCTTTACATACAATCTGACAGTTGGAGAGAATTTCGAAAGGAAAACTGAGAGAAACCAACAATATTTTATGTGCAGGATTGATTTGATATATTGATTTAAGGATGTCAAGGATCTATTTGACCTTGATTCCTGACATGCCTGACTATGGTTGATCCTTCAATTCCATATTTCACGTAAGGGTATTTCCCAGGGTGTTAGCAGAGGTTATACGAGGGACAAAGAGTCATTTTGAGTAACTACATTACATTACATGTCACTTATTAGACACTTATCCGAAGCGACTTACATACTCAATACTGTGGGCAATCCCCACAGGAACAATTTGGGGTGAAGTGTCTTCCCCAGGGACACAACTACATGCTGACTGCAGTGGGGTTTGAACCTGTGACCCCCTGATCCGAACATCAACGCACAACCCACTGCACCACACACCTCCCTAAAAGGTACAGTGTACACCTGTCATGGTCCTGGAGTAAAACACCTGCATGTGTGAAGTTGGTTATTAGTGTAAACCACCCTAAATTGGTGATTGAGGTATAGACTTAATTTAGTGTTCTCAATTATGTGTACACTGAATTGTAATCCAGTTGTTATTCTTAATAACTAGCCAGATACACTTTTACAAAACGTTACACCTTAGGTTTCAATTTCAAATGTTTGAATGGTGCAGACCAATCTAAAAGACTCTGATATCAAAGAGTGTGAAAAGAAAAGTTAATTCAAAAGAAGCATAACTTTGATATAACTGAGCAGAGCACAATATTTGTTTTAGAGTTTACACATTATGTTTTTCAGATGGCTAGTTTAAGCAAAGTTCATCTTTACAAATGTTTTAGGGAAAATGCATTTAAAAACCTTACATTTCTTCAAATCACTTTTTAAAACCAATCTTTCTAAGAAAATCCTTTTATTGACGTCACCAGTTTGTTTGACCCTTCAGTTTAAAGATATGTATCTGTCACCTCTGATGGTTTGGTATTTTAATCTATTATATTTCAATCAATGTGATGCGTTTTATTTACATTTTACAGATAAAGAAATGTGTAGGTTTGTTATCATATTGCAATGTCAAGAATGAACGGTCCATATCTAAATAACAAAGATGGATACAACAAAAATAACTTGTCAGCAGATGTTTGGATCTTTGTATTTTCTGATAACGACCTATGGTTGATGTTTATATCAAGACAAGCTACTTATAAACATAAAAATAAACACATTGACAAAATGACTGGACATGAAAGCAGAACACATTCTTGGCTTTTGGTTGTTTTTGAAGATTTCTTACAAAACATGGCTGTATTTTCGCATTTAATCTTGTTCCTAATACTGATCATTTTTCAGATTCAAACATATAAAGCAATTTGCAATGCACTTTGCATATACCCTGTTTGCATACGTGTGTGAGTAAGAAAACACTTTTCACCTCTGTGCACAGACACCAAAAGAAGAGGGAAAATCAATTATCTTTTTTAATTACATTATCTAAGCATAGATGCATTACTTGTGAAAAAGGTAGAAAAAACAGCAAGTCTTTCTCAATAAGTTAAACCTCTCTGGCCGAAGAGCGGGGCCGGCTCACAAAACTGAAGATTTCCCGTAAAGCATTCAAATTTGTTGAAACAAAAGACAAGGAGTTAACTGGCTGAAGTTAAAAGTAGGCCTCCTTGTTGAATTTAACTTGTTAAGAAACCAAGACAAACATAGAAGATGCGAGTGGCTTATGTTACAGTCCTTCCACCCTTTTCCACAGGGCTCTGCAAGCACATTTTCCTGAAACTTCACAAGTTCCATCGTTTGATCGACAAACAATAAGCAGAGTTATAGTTGGTAAAAAAAAAAATTATAATAACAATAACAATAATTACAATAACAGTAATAACGAGAATTGTAAGTAATAAACACAGTCCTGTACAGTCAGGCTCATCTTGTGAATGACCGCAGCCAAACGTCTGATGTTTACGTCGGTCTCCAGCAGAGCGACGCTGCCCTCTGCCTCGCTGCGATTAGAGGAAACGCCTCACCCTCTGCTGCGGAAACACACAGAGAGACGTGGTTAGGAGCGGTGTTCTTGGTGTAACCGTTTTAGTTTACTCGGGTACTAGGGATGGGAATGATTAATCGAATATTCAAAATGATTCAGGTATTCGAATATGAATTAAATGTATACGACAGTGCCATTTTAAATATCTTAAGAACAATATCAACAAAACACGTGTAATGCTCCCAGGGGTTATATAAAATCCCAACTCAACCCCTGAACTTTACACTAACGGAGAGTCCTACACAACAAACAACATTTATTTATCATTAAAACTCTCTTTATTTTTATTATTATTATAGAATATGTGAAATTTCAGTTAACCGTTTTTTTGGGGGTCGAATATTAAAATATACATTTGCTTTCAAATTCCCATCCCTATCGGGTACTGTGTGTATGTTTTCCTTTTGCACAGTTTTGTTAATTAAAATGTCCAGGTAATACAAGTTTAAATACCCAATCCTAGACATGTTGATGTTCATAGGTAAATAAGTCTATATTTGGAGATTTTGACAAAAAAATAATAGAAAATAAACCTTAAAAAAATATACAAATTCAACTAAAGAGATTAAAAAATCTGAAATTTAAATAACCAATTAGAAATTAAACAAAAAAAGTCAAAATAGCGATATTCAAAATCTATATAAATATGTACATAAAAAAAACAAGTTACAAAATAAATTTAAAAAAGGAAAGAAACGTAAAAATATAAATAATAATTGACAAAAAAATGTTACGCTACAAAAATGATAAATCTACTATACTAATACTAAATGTTATTAACTTAACACTTATTAAAATGTTGATTTAGCAATGTGTGAACGGTATGAATGAAGTTTCAAAGCCTAGAGCTACGGCCCAACACAGAGGTAAACGAACCCTCACCTCACTGGGTTCGAGCAGACGTCGTTCCCTCAGAGCTCTCAGTCCAGCTCGTGCACCTCGTCCTGCAGGGAGACGGAGGGCCGCGGACCCTCGCTCAGACGCTTGGCCATGATGTCCCACTGTGGAGTCAGCATTTTGGATTTAGAGCCTGCAGAGGATGAAGAGAGAAGAAGAAGAGATGTTGGTCACACACAGGAGAACCTCTTCTGCCCCCTGCTGGCTCCATAGAGTAGTGATGTCTCATGAATAAACCTTCCTATTCATGTCCGTTGTTGCTGTATTCTTTAAACTACATTAACCTTAGTTTTAAAATAACCCCTAAAAAGCCATTTATAACAGAAACAGTTAAAACACTCCTTTTCATTTGTTTTGTGAACAGAAACAACAGCAGCCTGTTTTGAGTAAATACCACTTCACAATAGTCATTCAGAAAAATATGTTGTTGACAATCTGAAAATCACAAAAGCTAGTTCATAATTTCGCACTTCACTTACAAAGCATGTCTGCAAACAAACATTGTAAACTTGTTTACCCCATGTGCTTTGGTCTGAAATGGCGGCCAATGAAAACAGCTTCATAAAATGCTGACATTGATCCAAAACAAAGGACAGCAGGTGAGAGCAGGCTATTTTTACATTTCTGCCAGAACAAAAAGATCAGACCACGCAACTCGTCCTCAGAAACCTTCATTGGTTAGCTGTACAACATTAAATCCTCCTTTTGGTTAAAAACACCTTTTGTTCTGGCTCCACTGCACGGACTCGCTGTCACTTAACAACCCCAGCATTTACGGCCCGTCCACACGGCGGCGTGCGTTGACGCTTGCCGGCGGGCGTGTCTGACACTCGACCAACAACCAATCACATGAATCTCCCGCCCCTGACACACAAGCACGCGGTTTGATTGGCTAGAGCTTGTACTGGCATATGATTCGATTGGCTGACGCCTCCATCGAGGCGTCAAAAGTTGAACATTGCTCAACTTTTGAAGCGAGCAACGCCAGCAACGCTCCACGTCGCTTCCCAAAATGCAGTTCGGCTAAAAGTGACGTCACCCCATTCAAAGTGAATGGGCAGAAGCGTTGGAAGCTTCAACGCACGCCGCTGTGTGGACGGGCCGTTACTCGTTTTCACAACAAGGTCAAGTGAAGTTATTAGGGAACATAGAACATGATTTTTTTTGACTTTTCAACCACCGACTAGGAACTCACTCCGTCATTGAGTCCATTTCCTATCAAATGTAAAACTTCTATCAAATGAGGAACTATTCTACGTTTCAGCCTCAGTCCATTAGAGTAAATAAGATCAACTTGAGGTCTATGGAAACAAACTAAAACAATGCTCACTTATAATCACTGATAACAGGAAACATGATGGAGGCCTTCTGTCAATTCAAACCTGACATAATTATGACTGAGTGAGTCAATTGGTGGTGAAAAATATGAATGAATAAAAACGAATTGCTCATACTTGATCCCGGCTGCTTCCCCCCCTAATCCCCGCCCCCCCGGCCTGGGCCTGAGGACGGCTCACAGACCGGTGAAGAAGCTCCTCTCCCTCAGGACACACTTCCTCCTCCTCTCTGTTACCATGACAACACAGACTGTAGCCTCCAGCCAAAGCAGCGAGGAGGATGATCCTCTTCCTTCCTCTTCGTCTCTCTCCCTCTTCTTCTCTCTCTAGCAGACTCTCCCTCTCTTGATCTCTCAGTCTGTCTCTTCCCCTCTCTCTTTTCACGGGGGAGAGGGGAAAGTGGGACACAACCCAGACAAATTAAAACCACAGCACTAACTCTGGAGCCGGCGGCGGTGGATCTCCACAGAGTAGACATGAAGCCCAGACATGCCTTTACGCTCATCTATATATTCAAATAATCATGCTTTTGGGAAAGGTATCAAAAGCTTCAATTTATGTGTATTTAATAAATGTTTAATTTGTATGACAGCAGTTAATAATAATACTTTATATGAAGCTTTGTCATGAAAGAATATGTTAAATTGAGTTTTAAAACGGTTTCCCTCTGCCTTGTTTCCGGTCCAGATCCAAGTACTTTCCTTCCTAAATTAAAACATTGTTCTGCTTCCAGGTAGTAATATTCCAGGTCACAAGTATAATCATATTTGAGGGTGAAAATACATTTCTTATAAAGGATATTACGCAAAATGTGATGTTATATATTGAGTGG